ATCACACAAATACCCCTATGCGCACACATGCATGTAAACAATTTTCACATTTTGCATGTTTATGGTCAACGACTCAGCAAAATATTAATTCTCGGTGTATTTTGTGAGCGTGTGTGCGCAGAGGTGTGACTGTGTGCCCAAGTAGGCATAAAAATGCACACACATGATATCGTATTAGAACTGCAAAAAAAACAAATTGTTGCAGTGTTGGGATAAAACGTGTTGGCAGCAGTAAAGGAAAATAGAAATCTTACAACAAACACACGAACACATATGTGCATATGTATGTATGTAAGTGAATAAAAAAATAAAATTGAGTTGTCAGATTTTAAGTAGTTGAAGGTGTTAGTTATTGTTTTGGCAATTGTATTGCATTGTGAATTTACTGGTTTGCCGTAAGTACATATATGTACATACATATATACACGCACGAATAAATACAAATGTGTGTATGTATGTTTGAAAATATTTAGACAGGTAAATGCCTGTATTGGTACGCCTGTTTTAAGAATGTGCAACGTCACGGTGTTATTAGTGAAACAAAAGCCATCTAAAATAAAGATGAATGGGGATAAACCAAAATAAAGGATTTACGGCTGCTCTCCAAAATTAACACTATATGTCCTTGATTAGCGAAGTGTTACAGAGTGGCGAATCGAGTAGCCTCTTCCTGCTTTTTCAATAGACTGGTTGCACGTGAGATATAACTTTGCGCATGACCATTCTCTTTGCGATAGTGAAAAAATGCATACTAAATTTCAATTTGGCACCGTCAAAGGTACATACGTATTTTTATACCCTGAATAGGGTATATCAAGTTCGCCACAAAGTTTGTAACACCCAGAAGGAAGCAGCGCAGACCCTATAAAGTATATATATAAATTCAGCTGAGTCGATTTAGCTATGTCCGTCCGTCTGTCTGTTCGTCTGACTGTCTATCCGTCTGTTTGTTCGTCTGACTGTCTGTCCGTCTGTATATTTACGAACTAGTCTCTCAGTTTTTAAGATATCGTTTTGAAATTTTGCAAACGTCAAGACGCGGCGTATTTGTCGGAACTGCCGATATCGGACCACTATAACGTATACCTGTTATACAAACTGAACTATCGGAATCAAGTTCTTGTATGAAAAAATTTCACAGTTGACGTGATATCTTCACGAAATTTGACATGAATTACTGCTTAAGGTAAATTTATAATCTCCAAAAAATTGTTCATAGTTACCAACAGAAATACACATGTGAAGGGTATATTAGCTTCGGTGTAGCCGAAGATAACGTTTTTTCTTGTTTTATTCAATATTTACAAAATGCATTTATTTGCTTCAGCTGAGATCGCCGTTTAAGAAAATATTTATAAACCAAAACGATAAGTCCCAGTGTTTTAAAACAAAATAACGGGTGATCAAAGTAGAGATACTTTTGGACAGATCACGCGTGAGGCGTGTCAAGCTCTCATATAATTTTTGATCAATATTGTTTGGCATTTCATCATGGAAAGACTTACGAATGAATAACGTTCCCAAATCATTTACAGCAACTCCGACTGATATATGAAACAACTTGGCGAATTTTACGTAGAGATCTTAATCTGAAAGCGTACAAAATACAGCTTGTGCAAGAACTGAAACCGCGTGACCTTCGCAAGCGACGTAAAGTATAAAGTATAAAGTCTATGCGGACAACCCCGCTTCTTTGCCTTGGAGCAACAGATTACTCGTGTCATTCGTCAGCTACCAGTCGAAATGCTCGAAAGAGTCTTCGAAAATTGAGACGTACCCGGAACCAACATTTGAAAGAGATAATTAAAAAAAAAATAAATGCCAAAGAATTTTCTTTCTTTTGAGGTTTCTCTGTTTTTTCTTTAAACAAGTAGGGAGTCTTGAAATGGATCGCCCTAAATAATATTAATACATAATATAATACATGTCCTCAAATGACAAATACTCACGGCAGGCGATATTTAATTTTCATTTAAGTTCAGGAAAGAAATTTTTTTTAGAAAATTCGTAAACCGATCAGAGACCAATAGGTTATTTAAATGATTTAATGCTATGATATTAAAAGTATAAAATTTTAAATCGATACTTTCATAATTACAGTTTGGTGTTCGTTAAGAAAAACATTGAAATAAAATTCGTTGTAAGATTTAGAGCTAATGAAAACTAGAGTAATGGGTCTAGAAAAAAGTCGTAGTATAGAAAAATTCGTTAATTTACAGTAACTGCTTGAAAATTTGCTATTACAAATTAGTGACAGCTCATCATTTCTTTTGTTATATAAAATAAAAACAGCATTAGCAAGTTTGAACATAAACTTTCCCATTTTGTTCTTCCATGTTAAAGCTCATTCAGCGGGGGGAATTGAATATAAAGCTGAGGAACACTTTCGATCCCTTTATTCAGACACGAAAAAAATGGCGGCAGAACTGAAAGTTAACGAAGAAAAACTAAGGGTCTCAGTGTGCATTCCTCTGCTGGATGCAATCGGCGAAAATATGAAGGGGCGCTTTTCTAGAGAAGTGTTGGATGGATTTGTGCTTTGAAAACCAAATAAATGGAAAATCTTATTGACTGCTTGATAGATAGATTCAGAGGCATTTTGGATAATAACAACGTCGTGCGATGTTTGAAGCTCAATGGTGAACTTGAGCTACTAGCAAGGCCATTAGGAGTAAAAGCAAATCAAAAGCAAGAAGTTACCGACTATTGCATTGGAAACGTTCAAAACTTCGGTGTAGACCTATACCCCATATTTTTTCGTTATCTTCGCATATTCTGCACACTTCCTGTGACGAATACGAGCTCCGAAAGTTCCTTTTCGACACTTTGCCGCATGAATATCTGGCTAAGGACTAACATGCTTCAAGATAGACTGATCGGTCTGGCGTTGCGGCACACGCCTTTTGACATTGAAGTCAGTGCGGCAGAAGTTCTCCAAAAATTTTCAAAACTTGACCCACATCGTTTTGTTTTGTGAAATTTTTCTATTCAATACAAACTGATTTTATTGCAATAAACTATGTCACCCGCACATCTACGAATTATAATGAGTTTTTTTCAATTTAGTAAGATTTGATATTAGAAGATCGATTTGAAATTTTTACATCATTATATTTGTATAAAGACTATTATCTTTAATATAATAATCTTCATGCTTCAAGTAATTGATTTTAAACTTAATTTGGCTTAAAATTCCTTCGAAATAAACTCTTTTAAGTCTAACTCAAAATCGAGAGTCCTTAGTATATTGAATTTAAATTTCGGTAAATCAGTGGATGGTTTGTGAGTTTTCAAATGAAAAGATTTCGCTTGCAAAAGTAAATTTTAAATTTCAATTTCGCGGGATACTATAAATCAAAAAGTTTGATACTTCAATTAGAATTATAAATTGATAAAATATATTTTGTTTTTAAAATTCGTAAATCATAAAAATATTTGTCAGAAAAAAGGTTGGAAGTAAACAATTTACATTTATATGGCTGTAATTCTAACTGAAACTCTATAATTAAAATAAAATTAAAAGAAATTGAATATGGTAAATAAGACAAAATATAGTAAATAATTTAAATTATGTTAAAATTTCATTAGATATTAGATGTAGGTAGAATATAAGAAGTACACAATCGCTAAAAAAAAAATAAATTTCAAAAACTCAATTTTTTAATTATTAATTATGAAATTTTTTCCAAATGAAAATATGTATAACTTTTTATTAAAAATTTTTAAGATTACGAAATATAATAAAATTAATTTAAATGGTAATTCCATGGACTTTAATGCTAATACTTTATTCAAAAAACTTGCTAGGAGTTCCATTTTTTATGGAATTTTTGAAGAAAAAAAAATTATATAAAAATTCAAAATTGTAATCCGTTGTATACTTATGCAAGAAAGCAATAAAATTACATATATGTATGTAAATTATTATTGCAAGGCTTACAGGTATATGCCAGCTATTTGCTCATCTTCTGAAAAACATAATAATCGAATCGTACACACCCACACTCTCACTGCCGAAAATCATGAATAATCTATGCTCAGGTATATAAAATTAATCGACGAATGAGAGACAAACTACCAGAAGACAAGGCCAGCAGGCAACTATGCCACCGTATACCGTTCTTATTGGTGTGGAGGAAAGAGAGAAAGCTTGCCCGGAAAAGAACCACCAACATAAAATATCATGAGTGCTGAATTATATACATAAACTTATGTATTTATGTTTGGCGCGATTGTCTTCGCTTGCCATCTGTATTTACGATTTGCCTCCCGCTCTAACCTTACCCTAAGCAAACACACTGATAAGTGAGTGGAAAAGCGTATAAATGCTCAGTGAACGCTACTCACTCAGTAGACGGCTACACGGCCAGTTGGCCCAAAGACGTGTGTTTGGATGTGTATTACATATGCTCGTATATTTGCTGAGCGCGGCGGATCGCATTGCTATGGGTTTGGGTAAAATGAGCACAAATGAGATCATTGGATTAGGTGAGGAGACAACAATGGACAGAAGAACCGTAATAACAAGCACATGCATACACACCTACCGGAGGCGTATAGACAGACATACCTACATTTGCTGAGGTATGCATAGATGTGGCGTTGTTGCTTTCTTTCATGAACGATCGCGTAATGTATGAATGTTTGTATGTAGGTATGTATGTACGTTAGTCATCAGCAATAGTCGGCTGTCTGGTCTGGTACTGGTATTGCCCGGCCTGCTGGCTTGGCCGGTAAAGGCACATATCACCTACATATGTACATACATACATATATGTAGATACACACATACACGCGTACGTACAATCGTAAGCGTAAGCGTAGCTATTGTTGTTGCCGATGTCGTTGCTTTTGCTGGTGTTATTGTTATTTTCGCCACAGTGGTAGTGCTAGTGGTAAAGTAGTAGTAGTGTCGTAGCTGTGTCGGCATTGGCAGTGTGACGAAGAAAAGTTACGGTCGACGTTTATGGCTAAGGTTTGATCAGTCTGATTCAACAGTTTGTGCTGTAAGGAAGTGTGAGCTATTGAACGGAAGTCACTTGGAAAAGTTTGAAAAGCGTTTTACCCAAAAATATCTACATTTGCATACCTACAGACAACCGGTAGACGCAAGAGTATAATCTAATTGCAATAAAAGCTAATTGTAACAGCAGTGACAAAGTTCAAATTCAATAAAAAATCAACGATTCGATTTTGATTCTGCTTTAGTATCGTTAAATAGTTTAAGCCAAATTAAAAATTTTGTGTGTGTGCATAGCATGACGAGAAGACTGACAAACAAAAGAAGAAAAATAATTAAAGAAGCATAAATAAATTTAAAAAAAGTGTTCAATAAGCGAGCGAAAGTAACTGTATAAAGTCAGAAGAAAGCAAAAATCAGCAAACAGAAAACGATAATGACAACATTGCCGCCGTTGTACGAAATTAATGAAAAAATTGAAAGCGTCGCTCAATACTACGTTTGATTCGGGAAATTAGCACATTCTTGTGAAATTGGCTAATTCAAAAGATTTGATGTAACAAAAGCAAAGCAGAAACTAACAACCTAAACATACATACAAACATATATAAAACATATAAAACGCATACTTAATATTATTACCGGCAATTTGTGCGCAACATAGTGTCTTCAAAGTGAAGTGTCGTACCACTTGAAAAACAGCAAACGCCTTAGTCACGAACGCCGCGCGCCGCGTTTTTGGCTAATAGTGCGCCCATCGAGCGCAGCCCACCCAATTACCCCACGTGGATGAACAAAGCGGAATTAACTCGTATTTACTTGGATTAGTATGCGGTGTGTGTATTGTTTTTGATTTCTAGATAATTAAAGTTGTATTTAGTTAATCGTCTAGGCAAATTTATTTATATATTTATTCAATTCAAAGTTAGTTTATTTTTGGCTATGAGCATATTTAACTTATCAGCTCATTGGCAGTGCATTCATACAAAATTGAAGTGTTCGAGCTTATATTTATTGATAAGTTGGATTGTAACTATGTACAAACATATGTATGTATGTCTGAAAGAGTTGTGAGAATGACAAGATATTATCTATCGGTTTGTGGTGTTTTCCAATGAGTTAAATAAAAAAAATTTTACGTCAACACAATTAGTAAGTTGAATGTGTGCTAAAAGTACAAAACTAATGCAAGTATTGAAAGTAGTCTTAGTAAAAAGAAATAGTTTAATTAATAATTAGGAGCTGAGATAAGAATAAATATATAAAAAATAAATAAATAATAAAAATTATATAAAAAAATACTTAATTTTAATTGTAAATTTAATGCTATGAACTAAATTAAAACAATATAATAAAAAAATTATTTTTTAAATAAAATATAATTGAATTAAAAATTAAATTTACATAAATAAAAACATTAATAAATAAAAAATATATATTTTAAACAAATAATTAATTTAATTTAAGTTTATATATAAATTGAAATTACGTAAATCAAAAAAATTAGTTCATTGTAAAAGCTATATTTTACATAAAGGTAATGTAATGAAATTTTAAACACAAAATAATTCGATAAAGTTAAATTCAAATAATATAATTATTTCAACATAAAATTTGTAAAATCTGTAACCAAAAAGTGAATTTTAATTAAAAAAAAATATTAAAATATCAAAAACTAAAATTAAAAATTATTTTCAGAAGCAACCATTACTTTTTAAATTAATAAACCATTTATCTATAGTATACAAAATATACAAAAATGTCCTTCAACATAGCTTTAGTTTATAAACATATACATTTTCTTTCCGTCTTTTGACTCATATTTAGATTAATTATAAATTTATAATTTTCTGTGAAAAGAAGTCCTTCAACTCAGATACTATATTATATATACTAAATCATGTATGAATAAAAATTAAAAAAAAAGTTAAATTGTCTCCTTCAAACATTTTTTTATACTATTATTAAATTTAAGAAAGTAAGCTATAAATTTGAAACTTAAACGCTTTCCTTAAAGTTTATATAGTCTACTATAAACAGAAATTATTTATTGAAAGTGTTATCAAATAATTTAAGAATTTGAGCTCTAAATTTAAAAAACAAACCCTTTCCTTTATTTTTTATTGACTTCAAATAATCAGAAATTTTTTAGTAATAATTTTTTTTTTTTTAATGAAATTATAATATATTAAGAGGTTGCGTATAGTATTAAGATCTCTACTTTTATGTACTACATTAATTTTTAATACTCTAAACCCTATCTGTCTGTATGTACGCGTATAAATCCTTCAGTTTTTCATATATTGAATTGAAATCTTGTGCACATCGCTTTTCCTTAAGAGGTTGCTCGTTTGTCGGAAGCGCCGATATCGGACCACTATAGCATATATTAGCAGAAAGAAAGTGCTGGTATGAAAAACTTTTTTATTCGACAAAATATCGTCAATAAATTGGGCATACACTATTTACCAAAGTATTGTTTTAATCCCCGAAAACATTGTTCATATTGGAGCACTTCTGCTTATAATTGCCGTACAAACCAACCGATTAGAATGCAATTCTTGCCTAGAAAAGTTTCTTATTTGGCAATATATCTTAATTATTTAAAAGTAAAACCTTTTCGTTTGAATGCAAGTCGTTGGCTAATTATGACTTCAGATTTAGCTTTGCATATAGTTGCCATAAGAAATACAACTCGGAGGGAACTTCGGCGGAAAATTACAATTTTTCTGATTTTTGTTTGTATTGGGTTGGGTTTTTAGTGGAAAAATTTTATATAGCTTACGAATCAGACGATTACAATTAATATTAGAATTTCTAAGCGCGCTGAATCAAAAAAGAATTTCAAATTCGGAGCGAAATACAAAATTTATTTAATCAAAACATCTATTTCTTTTCAAAATATAGGAAATAAATTCAGCGGAACTTAATTTATTACGAATAATTTCTTTAAAACGCCATTTTAATAACGAATTTTTTAATATATTGAAAACGATTTTCAAGTTAAAATTATCGCATGTTTAACAATTAGTTACTCTAGTTGGCATATTGATGTGCTTATTTCCATTGAAGACACTTTCATTTTAAAAACAAATCCTTAAAATCAATCATATATATTTTTTTTTCAATAAAAGTGAAATAAAAATACGGTAGTTATAATAATCCTTCTCTTCTTCTCATTCACACAGGTGGTTGCAAATCACTTGCAACCAATAAATCCAGCAAAACGGCGGACCAAAGCGTATTTTCACATACCCAAACGCACCCACGCCTCTCATTCAGCGTGCGGTCACCCTCAGAAGTAAGCAAATTAACAAAAACAACACCAAAAACCACATACGCACAGAAAAGTTGCAGCAGTCGAAGCAGCAGGCAAAGTCAACGTGTCCTTACCAGCAATCTCATTTTCATAATGATCGTAGTAAGCATATGCATCAGCGCCTCAGCAGCGCCGACAACAACTAGCAATAGTCCCGCCAATAATACACAAGTCACACACACACGAAAAGTGACGGCAACAACAAGAAAAACCAACACAAGCGCAAAGAACAAGGCGGTGGGTGTGACGTTAACACAAAATACGATAGATGTGAGCAGCGGTGCAGTCTACACGATGGCGCAAACAGGCAATGAGGGCTCGCGGAAACGGAAACGACACAGCAAACGTCACAGTAATTGGAATATCGATACTTTAAAAGATCTGCCGTGGGTGAATCCTTGCGGTGGTTTTTATGTGCCGTCGGCGACGCAAAGTGGCAGTGTCATGCGGCGGAAGAACCCAACGAAACAGGTGGGTCTGAGTGAAAAAAAAATTGATATAAAAAAAAAAATTAAATTGTAATAGAATTGTGATATTCGAAAGCACCAAAAGTATGTATAAAGAAAACAAAAAAAAAAGTATAGTAGATTTGTAAGATTCGAAAGCATAAAATAAATAATATTTAGAGTTTATAAAAAATCGATATATAATATTTCGAAATTTAGAAAAATTTTAAATTCTCAAATTTTAAGCTCTCAAGTTTAATTTTTTCAAATTACTTACTGCACATTATTACCGTTATTTGCATCCATCCAATAAGTTTTATATTTTTCAAATATTTACAGATTTTCAATATGCTTAAAAAGTCGGCAGGTATCGAGTACAAGATGTTGAAAGCCGGTCAACAAGATATTGATATAAGCAATATACATATTTGGTCGCTGCACAATAAAACTTACAAATTTCTGCCAAAATTGAAGCTGAACTCATCGGTAAGTTTTATACATATCTACATGTGGGATGTAGTCCTTATTGCATTTCTGTACAACAATATTTAGTGCTGTTAAGCTGCTCAAAGCATACACGCATATGCATGCACATACATACATACAATTACATATTTCATTGGCGTACAAAAATTAGTCTGGTATTTCCGTTGCTGTTTGGCTAATAGTAAACGGAAATATCTGCGTGAAAAATAGCCAACAAAAAAGCACAAAATCATTGAAAAACTGCACGTCATTTCGTTGCTCATTACAATGTATGCAAATAGATTGAAAAACCATAAGCAACAAAGAAAGAATCGGATTGTAATTGCTGTACAATTAAAAACAGTAGTATAAGCAATTCAATTATACATATTTAGATATAGTCAAAGTTCGACCAATAAAAAGATTTCAAACTCGAAAGCTTTCTGAGACAGTTTTCGTGCTTAAAAGCTTAAAAAAACAGTTGGGTAGCTTCGCAAATGTTTGCATAGAATGTGGTATAAGGCAAGGCTATAATCTTATTTTTCGAAGCGAACTAATATAGCATATAGCTGCCATACAAATCGATCGTACAAAAACAAGTTCTTGTATTAAAGTCTTTTTGGCAGACAAATTGCCTGCTTAAAATCAATTTAAAATTTTTTATATCCTGTTTTGCTATAAGAAACACAGCTGTGCAGGATACTAGAGCTTCGATGCAGCCAAAGTTAACGTTCCTTCCTGTTTTGATATTTTCTGATGTATACCTATGTAGGTTTTCGTGATTCTCAAAAAGTTTTCTAATAAAAATTTGAACCATACATTGTATATCGTCATTTTAATTGCAAGACAACGCGTTCACTGCATTATATTATATATGTATTATTGTAAAATTTCTAGCTTTCGTTCTCAGATATATTCCATATATAACCAATATATAACTACTTTATAACCAATACTCAAATTTTCTTTTAATATGAGTGGTTTCTACTGTAGCATTTATCTTTCACCTGTAAACTTGCGAAAAGTGATGTTGCGTTATTTTCCATATTAGTTGACCGCATTCTTAAACCGAATAAACCGAAAATGTGTGTATTTTGAGGAATTTCCGATGACATTTTATTTGTGTTTAGTATGGTGAGAAATTGCTTCAACTAATTTTGCGCTATTTTCTAAAATCTATGTACATGTTCATACAAGTATATACAAAAATAATGCTGATACGGTTCCGCTTCGCTGGCGAAGATCTCATGTTTATATCAACAAAATTAGATGATATATATATATCGACATGTGCGAGGGCAAAGGCATTTCTAATAGACATATTAGTAATACACTGTTGTCTGTGAGTCACTCCAGACGCATTTATGTAATGCATTTGACATTTGTAATACTCAAACAATGCGTTATGAAGTTGTTTTTGCAACAAGCATTAACTTTTTTTAAACACATTTATGACAGCTAACTGAAAAATAAATAAGAAAAATTATTAATATTTTTTTTATCTTAAGTTCAGAGCAGCTATTCATATATAGCTGATGATTTTGCTTTCACTTAACCTAATCGGTAGTTTGTGTGGTCATAAATCGCAAACTTATTGTTATAATCACTGCAACTAGTCATATTCATTCATCGCTTGAGAATGTTATCTTATCACAAATGCTCCCTTTATTATGTCCGCGCTGGCTAAAAAGAAAACTTCCATACATATAAGGGCAAGGTGTATAACGTTTGTATGTATGTATGTGCGCATGCGCTAAAGCGTGTGATCGATGCCAAGTCAATCACAATATCGCATGACTGAAACTTGGCAGTGGCGCAGGCAAATTTTATTTTAGAGAGGGGGAGAAGACGTGAAAAAATTTTGCTTTTGGAAATTTTGTAAAAATTATGATGTATACATAAATTTTATTATAAGTTATTTCACTTTTATTTAATTTTTTTTTATTTTTATTTTATATATTTGACTTTCCTTGTCATTTTTAAGCATAGTTTATTTAATTTTAAGCAAAAGTGGGGTAAAGTTCATAAAGGAAATTACAACTTTGACTGAGTAAAAATCCATAATTAATTACTCAAAGCGTAAGTGTTGCAATATTTTTACAAAACTACGCCACTGTTAAACACAATGTACTCGGTAAACTGATTTCGTTTAGGACCCATTGCTCATAAATATTGAAAAATAGTCGTTATGACATCACAAATTGTGGCGAAGCAGGGAGAGGCAAACATGTGTATATACGTACATTCACTGAAAGTTTTAGACATCTCTAATGAAAAAGCAAGTGTTAAAACCAAAAGCTAATTGAAATTGTTTGTTTGTGTTTTCTGTGTCGATTTAGATTTTATTTTTGTTTGGCTTTTTATTTAACATGATTCATATTGTACCCGATGTGCGTTTGCTATCTGCCATCGTGGCGAAATCTCACACCGTATGTATGTATATATCTATGTACTTGTGTCCACAAATCAATGACTTAAGCGAATAAAATAAGAAAGTAAAAGAATATTAAAAAAACAGCAACAAAAATCGGTGAATGGGCTAGTTGCAAGTGGCTGAGAGCGGCCAGAAAAWRARWAAWWRARRAAWWRAWWAAAAAAAAAAAAAAAAAAAAAATTGGTATGCTAAACTACAGTTGGTGGGCATGAAATTGTGGCTAACACTATAAAAATTAAAATTTTTTAATATTATAATTATATTTTAATATTAGTGATTATAAAAAGTTATTAATTTGTGTTTATTGGTGCTTTTTATTGTTAAACAAAAAATATTAAAGCAAAAAGTTGTATTTTTTGTTAAATTTGTACTGAAAAAAAACCGGTTTAATCAAACACGGGACACAAACGCTGTTAATGATTGCGGTCAGGTGCTTCAAATTATACCGTACGTCAATAATAATAGTCTTAAATAACGATAATTTTCACGCCAACAGTAGATCACTTTTGTATAAAAGCGTGCGGCTTGTCTTTGGCAACTTATCAACAGCACGTATGACATTACGGTACTTAGCAAAACAAGCACATACATACAAACATACATAAATACAAAAATAGGTATATATTAATTATTTGATAAAAAGATGTCAATGGGTACGTGTTTTTATTAACGATTTATAGCTATAAGTGAACCAAAACAAACAATACATATTTACATAAATCTGTACATATGTAAATATTTAAATTGAAATATGTCTAAATATTCAATTGAAAGCTTAAATGCTTTTCCGACGCGCTAACACGCTTAGTGGCGTTCAATTTATAAAAGAGGAAGCGCGATGACGCCACAACTGAAGAGCGTGCGCTGGTGGGTGCTGAGCGTTTATACGCTACGCTGTGCTCTATCAGCTGTTTTATAGCACACGCTGTGCTGGTATTATACTCTCTCATTTAAGTTGTGGTAGGTCACGGTTGATTTTGCGCGCATGTCTATACATACATACATATGTATGTATACAGATAGGTTTATTTATATGCATATACAAGTTGTTGAAGAGAACAGGTTGCAAATATAGACTTTTTACGAGTACACGCGATTAAATTGTATTGTATAATTTTCTATTTCCCATTGAAATTGTGCATGTTTGCATTTATCAAGTATCGTGTGCAATAGCTGATCAAATTTGAACCGGATTGACAACAAAAAAAAAACCCAACTATGAAAATTTTGTAAAACATAAAGAAATGAGCTATTTAGGTGTGATATTTAAAAAAATAAAATTAAAAAATTTCTGACCAAATTTGAACCAGACTGACAATAGCAAAAAAAACAAAAATATATATTTAATATGGACTTCAAAATAACCCTATTTAAATTTTGCACACACTTTTTATAAGCCTCGCCTGCATAAATGCCTTCGACAAATTTCGGTTTTCTCGGTTTCTAAACACAAAGAAATTTATACACCAAATATAAATATATTTCATTAATTTATAAAAATAAAATGTATGTAAAATTCTAAATTATTTTAACTAAAAAATATTTTTTTTAACTTTCATTCCAGATCGCACTCAAACGCTGGTACCGCAACATGCAATCCTTTGTGGGTTCATTCGCTTATTTGCGCAGCATACAGCGCGCCTGGGATATGGCCAAATTGCAACGTGAAAATAGTACAGGACGCGAACTGCGACGGTTATTTATCAGCGCACGCAAAATGTTGTGCGAATTGGAGACGGCCATCAATGGCACAATGCCAGCGCCGCGTATGTTGCGCGGCAGCGCGCTACCGCAAGTGACAAGCGAACAAATGAATAAGCGCTTAAAGCTCTACACGAAGCGACGCGCCGAAAGCAATCCGCACATTGTGCAGGAGGCGAACACGATCGATTTAATGTGGGTGAAATATTATTACTACGAATTTTTGAAGACCATGTGGAAAGTGCTGCGCCAGCAAACAAAGCGACGCGGTCAAATTGCGTTGATGGCCAATCCAAAGGCATTCAATGAGGTGGAAAAGCACTTTGGCAGCATTAGCAAAAACAAGCGTGTCAAAGGTCAGTTGGCGGCGCTTAAAACGGTGACAACGTCAGCTGAGCGCAGTGATAGTGGTAGCAGCAGAGGCGCGGCAAATAGGCGCAAAAACGCGCATGGTAGTGCAGTAATTGGTATTGGTAGCAGAAGACGTGTAGCGCATGCGCACAATACGCGGTGAGCCAGTGTGCCCGTGAACAACAAAAGGTTATACGATTTACAGATTTTAATTTCATATATGCATATATGTACATACTTGCATGTATGAAAGTGTCATTTTGAGTCTCAAGCAATTTTCGCTTTACATACTAGACTCACGTGCTGCTTAAATGCATACATACGCACGGCTAAACATGCCAGGTCAAAGCATTGCCTTCCAAATATATATACATAGCTATACCATATTATTGAGTTTATTAGTATTAGAAAAAATGTGTATAAGAATTTAGCTACTTCTTTAGCGCACAGTGACTGCATTCCAGTAATGTTTAATACGACAAATCTACAACAAAAAGTATCAAAAATATTTTAGCGATGCGTTTGCAAACAAGTATTAAGTAGTATTGCACCAATACACTACAACAAAAACAAAGCACTTTGTATTTAATTATAAATTATTTGCATGCGAAACTAAACCAATAACTGCAACAACAACAACAATAACGTAATATAAGCAAACATCTCGCCAGTTCCATACAAACATACAAACATATTTATTTATTACACCACATGCCGTTTCATGTAGAAGGCGCAGCGCAACGTGCGATTGATTGTTTTTACAAATGCACAAGTTCAAGTTCAATGTGCGAAACAACAAAAGCAACAACATGAAAAATCAAAAGGCAATTTCCATTAAATTACTTGTCAAATGCGCGGCTGCCTTCAATTTTCAATTTTCAATTTCATTTTCATTTTTCACTTTCGGTTTCATATGCACAACAACAATAACGATAACAACAAGAACTATGAAAAAGTAAACAAACACAAATTGATAGTTGTAGTATTTCTAGTCAACACATCGCACCGTCTCAATTACTATGATAACTGAGCGAGCACACACCCACAACCATAATTAACAGCACCAACAGGCATATACATACATACACCGTAACATGCACAAATATGCTCATATTAAATTCAACATACATACATATAGATTAGCTATATTAACATTCAAGTGGCGCAAGCTGCTTGACTGGTTCCTATTCGATCACACTTATTATTATTATTATTATTTTTATTCTAAATGCTTGTTTATATGAGATAATGCATGCAGAAATCGCAGGTTCATAAACACACATATACTTACATATGTGTATAAGTTTAAGAAGCATTATAAGCACGTGAGCAGAGGCGCGGCATGTGAGCGCCCATGAGGAGATAAAACCGCGCCAGAAGCGACGGCAAAAGTTATAACTGCATTTAATGAGTCGAATGCCGGACAATTAATTTCAATTACAAAATTATCGATTCGAAATACATATAAGTAATTGTTTTTGGATTGGATAATTTTGTATATAAAGTTATTAATATAATTCGGAGTTGTTATTTATATGAAAGTTATCAAATTTGTTTTTCGAAATGGCAAATTTAGAAGTTGTGGACATGTTGACAACCTTTTCTTAAAATTTTAATAAAAAAAAAAGGATTGAAAATTAATCTTCTATCACTCTGTACATAAAAATGTAAGCAAATTTTTCATAACTTTTTTAGGATTTTACGAAAATAAATCTTAAAAATTGCGTCACGCGCCTCTGCTCATAAGCTTAATACGTACATATTGTCACCTAAAAAGCAAAATAACGTAACAACACTTTTCACAAGTTCACAGACAAAAGAAAAACGTTAAAATAGGAGCCGCTCATAATGAAACAAAATTTGAGGTTTGGTTATAAAGTGGTTACATATTGCTTATATATTGGCTATCATTCACGCATATTAGAACGAAATTTAAGTTTCGAATTTTGGTTATAAAATGGGTATATACCCATAAATTGGTCTGCACTGATTTTCAATTTTTTTTTGTGATACATTGTTTTGCATTTAGGTGACGATGTACTTATATTTCCATACCCATATGCACTCTCATGATTACTCAATACATTACGAGTTTATTTCGAAATCTGATTATGAAAGACTACGCACAGAAACTCTCACAAGCTCTCTCTTTCTCTCTCTGCATTAATTCTCACGCTATTTCTTAATTTATTATCTTAACTGTATGTCAGTGTGTACAACTAGCACCTAAGCCACGAATATCTAAAGACAAAATATGTAAATGACTTGCATTTTTTAATCTAATCTAAATCATTGAGTGTAAACATTCGATAAATATTTATACATTCATAGAAACATGTATTTATTATTGCAATAAGAAAGAGCAAAAAAAAAAAAACCAAGACATAAAGAAATATATTTAAAAAAGAAAAATAAATAAAATAAAAAATAAACTTCATTCAGTCAAGTGCTCATTTGCATTTGCTTTTGCGCTGTGATATTGTATATGTAAAAAACGTTAAACCGAATCAAATTAATTTAAATCAAAGACCCAGCTAACTTGCGAAGTAGGTCTATACTTAAAAAAATAGTATTATATTTAGTATTGTTAAGCAAAACTGAAAAAACCCGCAACTTTTGTATGAGTACCTAGGTCGCTAAGTGTAAAATTTTATTTTAAGTATTTTTTTAAATTTATAATTATCTATAAGGGAAAAATTATTAAAAATTTAAAAAATATTTGAAAAATAAAACTATGAAAATTTTATAAAATATAAAGAAATGAATTTCACTTTTTATTTAGGACATAACACTAGTGTGAAAAGAAGAAAATAAAAATAAAAAACTTGACAAATAACATACTAAAATCGATATTTCATATAGTTTTTGAGTTACTGCCTTCTCAAGTACTGACGCTCAGTTTAAGCAGCCCCATGATGCGATCACTATACAATTTTACATCATTTGTATATAATTCCCCATACAATGACTTAACAGTTTTGTGATCTCAACAAAAATCAAACCAAAAACAACCAATATTTGGTATAAAACTCAACGTGTTTTTAAATCGGAATTATTTTGTATTTTTTTTGCATTAGATATAAATATTTTTACAGAGAATTTGTGTTCAGGTTTCATCCACGGAAACAATGCATTGCAGCTTCTCTTCAAAAGATTGAGTGACTATGTATTCTTACAATATGAATAAATATACCTTTAAAATTTAAAATAATTTTACTTTTAAATATGATATCTTCTTAGGATCTCACACTTGGTCAGCTCCTTAAAAAGGTGTTGAAAAAAAAGTTGTGAAAATATAATTCATCATTTAATTTTGAACTCATCATTTTATGGTTTCTTTTTGTCAAACTTTCCCAACGATTCTGGAACAAAACTGACGACTGTTCACTGCAGAACAAATCCTACTATCTCGTACCTTGAAAAGTGACTACCACTAACAGACTAATATGGGCGCAAAATAGTAAGACTTTTTTATTAATTTAAAATTCTTGATGTATTTTTCAAAATCTATATCTGTCATCCCCCTCTAAGTAATCCCCTTGGTCTCAATGCAATTGTGAAAACGTTTTTTGCAATTCTCGAATCAGTGGTTAAAGTCGATTACTGGAATAGCATTCAACGCGCGTAGCGCTTCACGTTTAGCGTCTTTATATGATTCAAAACGGTTTTCCCGGAGCAGTTTTATGTTTGCTGAATACCCAGAAGTTGCACGGAACTAAATCAGGCTTATATGGTGGTTAAGGCACGACATTGGCTGAAAATATGGCAAAAACCTTACTAAGAATCAATGCAGTATGCGACGGTATATTATCGTTGTGCAAACGCCAAGAGTTGTCAGCCCATAACTCCGGCTCATTTTTATGAATAGGTTCTCGGAAATGACGCATAGCACTCAAATAGTGTTCCTTGTTCAGAGCTTGGCCGTTCGGCCGTTCGGCCGTTCGGAAGGAGTTCGGGATGCACCACACCTCGATATTCTTCGGTTAACTGTCAACATAACCTTGATTTTTGATCTGCTTCGAAGTGGGTTTTGATTGTGGTATGGATCCAAGACTCATCCCCAGTAATAATATGTTTCATTATAACTTGATGGTTGGAAAATATTGTTTCACAGACGTTAACATGGCACTGCCTTTCGAAAAAATTTTGTTATTTTGGAACCAACCGTGCTTTTCCTTTTCTTAGGCCCAAATGATCTCTCAAACTGTTTTTCACTGATAGTTCCGATGTTCCAACGATGCCAGTAAGATCTCTGACTGTTAATAGTCGATTCTCAAGCACCAAATTATTGTTTTTTTTTTGTTGACGTGTCGATGACATCTGTTGATGTTGATGCCCGTCCTGGACTTGGTTCATTGGTACCAATCCAGACTTGCTTGCGACAAACAATTATCAGCGAAGGCTTTTGTCAACATTCTGAACGTTTAGGCACCAGAAATTTAAATTTCAATGGAGCTTCTTTGTTGAACAATTTCTCTCAGCGTAAAAATCGTCGAATGCACTTGATGTACTTCAGAAAAATAAGCTATTACTAAACATTAATAATTATTTTGATTTGATATCTGTCACAGTTGTCACTGACAGTTATACCAACCTAGAAAAAAATATATATCGACGAAAGGGGTTTGTTTGAAAACCGTTAAAGTTATTTATTAATGGGTTTAATATTCTATTCCTCTCTGTATCAGTGATGAAATGTATCTATGTTAGTAAGTCCATACAATTTTTCCCGGAAGTACTGGGTGGAGAGATTATCTAAGATAATTTGGAGTATATTTCAATTGATACTCGAGAATTAAGTAAAATTATAATCTTAAGTTAGCCTCTTCTAATTCTGAGTAGCAATTTGTGTAGTACTTAATATACAGGATGTAGAATTAAGTGTTGTTACTTTCGAAAAATTTAGTACTCAAAATCTATATTTAGCATAACCAAAGTACCTATGTTATTATTGTATAAATATATAATTTATCATCCGATTAAACTTAATTTAAATCGCGTTCGCAAACCACATCGATGAAATTTCTTTTACTAAATTGAAACCGCCTTTTTTATGTTTCAGAAGTTTGATCTCCATATGCTAATTTTTTGTTTGGGAAGCAAAAAGTCTGGCGATTTTTGCCTTGAAAAATGAATTTAGCGACAAGATTACGTGAAATTTTGTGTTTTCAGTGGAATCAGGGTCACAGAAGGGCTGAAATGTTGTAGCAGTTGTAGAAGTGTTTTAGGGAGTTCACTTTATAGCGAAAACAAGTAGTATTTGAGTGACACAAAGCATTCAGAAAAATTGCTTTATTCTAGTCATCTATCCACAGAATATAAACCGTCATATTAGAATCAGAGAGAGTTAGCAGATG